GGGGGGGGGGGGTGTCCACAAAATTACTTTAGGGGATCTATGAACTGAAATACAAAACAAAATGGACCAATAAAGCATTTAACCAATGTTTTTCTTTTTTTTTTTAGAGATATTTAGATTTTTCTACTTAATTGGTTCTTTAATATCAGGTCTACCTGTAAATCAGTGAATAGCACCCAACATAACACCATTGGAGATTAATTCAGTGTGTTCACAGCTGAAGTAACTTTACTTATGTCTACCTTTTGCTTAAATCTTATTTTACACAGCAGCTTACCAAGTTAAACAAAGAAAATAAATTCTGCAGCAACTATATTAACAACAATAATAATGTAAATAATCATCAATATAATTTAACGATTTATAGTCTCACATAGCCTATAGTCTCATTCAAATAACTTTCATTTAGAACTGATTATTGATATCAGTTATTGGACATTTAAACTAAATAATCTGGATCATATCAGCTATTAAAAATACAATATCGGTCGGTCTCCACAAGTTATTATACACCGTACTAATAAATCGTAATATTTTTTGTATTGCCTGCGAGTCTGTGTAGGGGATCCCTGGGTCAGATATGGTTGACAACTGCTACATCCATAAAACATTCTACATTTAGGATTACGACTAGTTTGTAAAGAGAACATGTTAAGATGAAGAAAAAACAGCGTTTTGACTGTCTCTCAAAACCAAGTGAACCGGACAGCGTTTAAAGCCGTCGTAAGCATTGGAATGCGCCCATGACGCCCCAAAACGTTGTCTAGGTAGGCAGCTCTGGATCATCACGCATTCCAACAGATAGACGCGGAGAGTGAAGAGAACAAACTGACTGTCCACTCTTTCTGCTGTGACACCGCAGCTTGAACATCAATCCCGGAGATGTCTGTGTGTTGTCTGAATGTGATGTGACATCTCTTACCTTTCCCTCTGATTTCTTTAGCCATCCTGCGTCTTTGCAGTTAGTTTGGACAGTTCGCACGCCTCTTCTCTCTGTCCTTGTCTGCGCGCGGGAGAACCGATTTCAAGTAGGCTATATGCGCGTTTCGTGTTTGAACATGCGAAGGTGGGAGTATCCATGAACGCGGAGACAGATCCTTGTGTTGAAGTAAGCGCGGACTTGGGGCTGTTTGTATGTGTGCAGACTTTGCTGTTGTCCTCCTCTCCTCCTGTTGAGCTCGAGGTGTGATGTTCGACTGCCTCCGGTGGCTCTGCGCGAGCTGCAGTGAACTTGGAAAACGCCAAGCGCATTAATGCAGGCTTCAGACCACCCGCCGTCATATATTAGTTATTTATTCATGCAATTTAAACAATAATATCACACTAGCGCCTCCTTGAGGATGTTGAGCACATCATATACATGACACTAAACAAACCCTGATAAATAATGAATAAAATCATTTCTGCAACCAGGGGCGTAGCAAGCTTTTCAAAAGTGCGGGGGATGGATGGACAGAGAAACGGAGGAGCGACTGTAGTAAGGCGTTTGTGCAAAACTGCGGAAAAACTGCAGAAAAAGTGCGGGTGTTGAACCCTCTCACCGGGAAAAGTGTGGGTGTTAAAACACCCACATCCCCCACGGGTGCGACGCCCCTGTCTGCAACGCATAGCTTTTGAGCTCGGCAACTTTTTATATAAAAAGAAATACGTTTATGCTGCAAATGTATGTATTTATATAAAACAGTATAATAAAGAAATTAAAAGGACGCCCAGTACATTAAAATTGTTTGACGGCGTACATGGAAGAATCAACATTTAGCCATCCTTAGCTAATATGATAATAATATCATATTAATTTCTGTAATTTTATCAAACAGTGTGTAATTTTAAAGTTAAGCAAGCCAACTAATACAACAAAACATCAACAAAAACAAAAAATAAACAAATTCTTTGCTTATTTCTCACAATGCGCCATTTTGGAATGAAAATGAGGCTGAGGCGGGAAACGCGAGATCGGCACATTATTGTTTATATTATATTTATCAAAATATATTACATATATTTGTATCGCTTTTCTAACTAGAACATCTGAATTTATAATTTTTTATCAATAAATATATAATATTGAATTTTTTTAATCATTCCACATACTGTTAAAATGTGTTGAAATATGTATGGTTTCTTACAGGAATTGTGTTATAGTTTGGTTATTTTTTTACTATCTAAAAGTAAGGGACAGAATCTGTCACCACGATTGAAGAATGACTCAAAACTCCTGAGACCATAGTTGAAACTGTTGCAAAAAGAAACCACAAGCAAACTTTCAACAAGGGCCAAACAACATTGACTGACAGTTACCTTAAAAATCCCTAAAGTGCTTCAAAAGTTGGCCTACAGTATCATTCAATCGTCTCTGTGATACAAATGGTTGCATAGCTGAGGGACCACAGGTGCTGTCCATGCCTGCCACCAAACTGAATATCAACATTGTGGAAGCAGAAGTGCAAAAGGCATTGTGCAGTTGAAAACAGAAATATAAATATCTTCACCCTGCCAATGGCAGTGTATCTCTTTAGTCCCATAGCAGGATGACTGTGCAAAATGTTAGCTTGTTCATAAATCACTACGTCGTCATTCCTCCTCAGGCTTTTCAATAACCAGCTCTGTCACAGTACATCCAACAGCAGTTCAGCTGATTAATGCTGCGTTGTAATGACTATAAAATAGGAGTCTCGTGGTAGCGGTCAAACAGTAATTGGAAGAAAAAGTGACAAAATCAAGGCCAAATATGATGCACTTTCAGTCAACATGTTTATCAGCTCATTCTCTGTATGGTAAGTGTTCTGTGTTGCCATTGTAAAGAAGGCCAGCGAGTAGGTGCTGTGCAGGTAAACCTCACTCCCCTGATCTACGCTAGCGGCTGCAGTCATTTAGGCTCGTTAGTGCGTCCGCCGCCCATGCCGGAGACCAGGGTTCAAGACCCACTCGGAACAAGAACGAGGTGTGGTGGTGAGGACCCGGGAGAGAGGGGTAACATTGGTGCCGTGACCCAGGTGGGAGTGAGTGTAAAGGAGGCCAGCGAGTAGGTGCTGTGCAGGTAAACCTCACTCGCCTGATCTCAAGAGACACGCTAGTGGCTGCAGTCTTTAGCCTCCTCATTAGTGCGTCCGCCTCCCATGCCGGAGACCCACTTGGAATAAGAACGAGGTGTGGCGGTGAGGACCCGGGAGAGGGGGGTTACACCATGTATTAAAAAAATCAAAGCGCACCAAGTTATATCCAGCTCTCACCCCAGGCTAGGCATTGCTGCACATCAGGCATCCCAAATAATTGTTCTCGAGTAGCTCTAAATGACTATTGATAGAGGTGAAGTCTGGAGTTCTTCAATTCCAGGGAACTGTCCATGTTTCATTGCTCCACTCCTTTAGGGAATTGGCCTATTTGTAGCAGTCAGGAAACCCAATGACAAAACACTTCTGACTCCAAACATTGCATTGTGTTTCTGGTAAAAGCAGCAGCAGAAAAACAGCCTGCAGGTCAGACAAGCAGAAAGATAGATAACATTGATTACACCGGCTGCACACAGGAAAAATGGATAATTCAATTAATTTAACTTTTTCTTTTAAAAAAGCGGTTTCATCGGCACTGAGTAAAATGTGCCAAGGCCAGGGAGATGCTTGAAAGAGTCATTTTAAAACATTTATTTTCTTTATAAATTAAATCATGATTATAAATACAATACAAATTCAACAAGTATCTTTCACCAGCAATAAAAACACAACCAAGAACAAGTTCATGCCAAATTGGTGACTACATTCCTGTAGCGTCACAGCATTCATAATAGTTCATGGCACAAAGCCTAGAATTTCCTGGCAAATGCAGTTACTTGTGCATTAGTTTGCTTTTGGCACTTTTCACAAATAAGTAGGTTGCTGAACAGTGGGAAGAAACCTGTGACTCACATCTGGGGGTTTAAACTACAACTTGAAAGGGTTAAGAAACGTACCATAAAATCTGCTCACTGCATTAGAATTAAGCAATAAGGGGACAACCGATACTTTTAAAGCCGTAAAAAGCCCTCAAAAGACATAGACCCTAATTTTATATTCCTAAATATGTCTAAACTGCACACTCTCTTATTATTATAGCCTTACTTTGTTATATAGGAGCTGTATGCGTGTACATTTCAATGGAAAGAATGCTTGTAATGCTCATCCAGTCCGAGCACATTTCCAGCATACCAGCACAACATCTGGAGGCCACTTTCCCCCTCAGGCTCTGACACACTAAGTATACCTCACCTGTCCAGTCACACTGGGCAACATATGGATGCTCAGTGAACTTCAATTAGCATAGAGAAACAAAAACATTTAGAGCGTATGAAATCAGTCCACAAAGTAACAAGTTTGCATTCTGATGCGGACAGCATTAATCCAACCCTTAATGCTTTTTCAGGAGGAAGTGAGTGTGTAATCTTCTAGTGTGAGATATTTATAGAAAACAGTGTAAATCTTATCATTTGTAATGCATTAATAATGTAAAGGTTCTTGAATAGCAAACACAAAAGTCGACTAATGCATTGTCTAATGCACAAAAAGGTTGTATGGATTATGACACATTGATGTGACATTTGTTAGCCGTGTCCTAAAAAGAATCTGTTTGCATTTAAAAGTCAGACCGCCCACTGAGGTTTCACATTACAACAGAAATGCCTGTCTGGGTAAAAACCGAGCTCTAACCAGCAGTGATTGTATAGTCCAATATTTAAATGTAATTCATGGAAAAACATACAAAAATATAAACCTGAATATGACTATGTTCAGTTCCAAACATATATCAAAGTGTCATTGCTTAATAAGTTGTTTATAAGGAGCCTCTATGACATTGATGTGGTGGGAGACTGGACTGGCTGGAGGAACTCTGAAGTGAAAACAGCTTCCGCATACTCTTCACAAACATCCTGGAACTCTGCTGCCACATCAGCCAGAGCCTCAGCCATTAGCTCATCAGCCAGACTGCGGGAAACAAGAGAAAAGAGAGTTATAGTTACACAGCACTTATTGCTCATACTCATACATTAAAGGGACAGTTCACCTAAAAATATGGAAATATCCCTTAGTTATTATAAATGCCTCATTCAGGAGAGGAGAATAAAAAACATGTTGGGTATATTTTTGTGTAAGTGATATCATTAACTAAAACTATTATAATTAATTTAGCATTTTTTGGTATTTGAAAATGCTGAAAAATAAAATAAAGCTTAAATAAAATGAAATATAAATGAAAAACTAATTAAATCTAAAATTAAATTGCCTTGGAACTAACTGAAATAAATTTATTTTTATTTCAGGTTTAGTAATTCAACTTAAGGCAGCATGAAAAATCACCCTATTTTCTAGTTCTATTCTAATGCATGTTACAGATTTTATTGTAAACAATTCAACCGAGAATATAGAAAGTTTTTTTTAATGTTTTGACCTCGTAATGTTTAATCAAAATGTCAATTCTACTTCTGTTTCATCGCAACTTTGAAGCTATATAGAAATATACAAAAACAGACAAAAACACAGTTACTAAAACTTAAACTAAAATTAAACTGAAATTAGTGCATCTAATAGTGCATTAACAATACTATAATAACAGCGTTTTGTGTTCTCAGCATTAAAGAATAAAAATCTTCTATAAAGATTACGATTAAGAATAAAAAAGACTTCTATTTCTTTAGGACAGTGATGAGATCATCTAAATCCTTTCTTTTAGGCAAGTATTAAACTTGCTCTGTGTAAAGAGCAGAGCTACCCAGAGAGCCCAGTCAGTCTGTGCTCACTCAAGGCCTTGACTGCCTTCAAGGCTCTTATTACCCACAATGCATTGCTGACTGACAAGTGCCCGCACCCATTCCCAGCAGCAGCACTAATTGCCGTGACATTTCCCACCTTCTCTATTTCTCTGGAATAATAACCATTCAGAGTCTCTGCGGTGCTACACTGACCTCTCAAAAAAAAATAGATCCTCAATTTCTTTTTATATTCGTGCAATAACTCATACTTTTTTCGAGCTTCAGCACACAGAAAAATATTTTTACTTTTGATTCCTCACTTTCTCCTTTCCGTAAATGATTTCTGCAACCATTCTTCTCACCACCCACACAGCCCATGGCGCGAGGATCAAGTCTGACAAATGAGACCTCAGCTCTAAGAACAGATTCTGGTTTTTGTGTTCCTCTTCCTACCGTTGTTAAAAGTCTGTTCTCTGTGGACTAGCAGGACTTGATAAATATCCACCGCACTGCACC